AAAAAATTTTCTACTTTTAGAAGGTAAAAAAATATTTTTAAAATTAAAATCTTACTAATGTTATCACTAAGTAGATTTCACTCCAGTTGGTTTTGTATAACTAAAATTTAACATAATCAGAATGGGACATGTTTCTGTCTAGTTGGTTTTCCCAACTAGAGGGTGTTGTTAGTACTTTGTGAGCCCACCAAAGAGCTTACATCGATGATCCGAACATTTAATATATTAGATTCGTCGAGTACTTCATCTCTATAAAAAATCAATTTTATCAACTATCAATAGCCACAGTATCGGATCACATTTGTGTCAATAATTTATTTTTAAAATCATATTAACCGTTGATACAAATGTGATATGATGAAGTGGCATATCGAAATCTAATAAACCTGATTTTTTACAATGATGAAATACCCGATGACCCCGACACATTAAATAGTTCGGATTATCGATGTGAACTCTATGGTAGGTCCATGGAAATCCAACAGTACCCGTGATCCGATTTAAATTGAGGAGAATTTATTATTATTATTATTATTAACAAAGTCACTGATTATATTAGTTTTAAGGTCACAATAAAATATAGAAAAAAAATATTTCGTTAAAAAAATCCGCCAGTCCAATTTATTAGATTGAAAAAAAGAAAATATTCTCACTATTAACTAAACACTAGTTATATTTGTCTGACAATAAAACATAAAATAATATTTAGTTAAAAAAGAGTAAATTATGCAAATGTTATTTGTAGTTTATATGATTTGTCAATTTGGTCTCTATTGTTTCGATTTGTTAAATTTTGCCCTTTAATTTAATTGATTATATCATATTGGTTCAATAAATAACGACTGTTAGGTTTGGTGAGCAGAAACTCAAACGATATGTAAATTTGGTCCATGTAGTTTACATGACGTGTCAATTTGGTCCCTGTCAAAATCGAGCAAATTAAAATAATAAGAATCAAATTGACACATCGTGTAAACTACAAAGACTAAATTGACACATTGGTGGTGTTTGGGAAGTTTGTGTGATGGATTTTTTTTTATTTTTTTTACTAAAAGACAAACTTTTTGCAAAATAAAAAAAAACAAATTCAAATAAAATATCACATCCAATCACATAATCATTTCACTTTTTCTTTCACAAACATTACATCCAACCACAAAAAGTCGAACTATCTTCTCAAACACGAAAAAAAATTTCTCCAATAATATCCTACAACTAAAAAAACCTACATAAAAACCCACTTTCCAAACACCCCCCCTATACGAGATTGGGTGGGCCGTAATTGGGCGGGCTTTCAAAGTAAGATAACTATAGGCTTTATCAATTGTCGCAGAATTTTGGGTCGTCAAGTTTGGCCTGTCCATGGCTTGAGAGAGGAGATTTTAGTGGGTGATTTTGTTTTAATGAATAATTAGTAGGTGATCTGTGCAATGTATGAAAGTTTATTTTTAAAATCAAATATTAATTTTGAGTCTAAATATTTTATATGTAAAAAATTTTAACAGCTGAAAATTAAATACAAACAGATTTATTAATGACTGAAGAAATTTTTTGTCAGTGTGTTCTCCTATGTAAAATAGGCTCATAAAAAATTTCAAAGTTATAGGAAATTCGAGTTTTAAACGCCGCTAAAAGCCTGAAAAATGCTGTAAAATGTTATAGCGACGTTTGAAATACTCCTCGTTGATATGGCCGCTGCAATAGCTTTACAACGTTTGAAAACCGTTGCTAAAACCATTAGACAACATTTTTGAACATTTTTGAAAACACCACAAAATCTCTGACATTCACTATTATTTCCGTCACAAACTAACATGTAACAACATCATGACTGTGAGAATGTGTTCTCATTTTTCCTTATAGGATTAGGAATTAGTGTCCTATATCTATTAGACTTCTATATGTCAGTGATGCATTCATATAGGATTAGGAATTAGTGGTGCTCTATATAAATGATGTATTCTTTGTTCAATTAATTCAATCTAATATACAGTTTCATTCAGAAAACTTACATGGTATTAGAGCCAACTCAGAGTCAGCAGATAGCAAACGGCTTCTAGGGTTTAGTTCGTAGTTCTTTCCTTTGTTTCGTGACTGGTTCTCCCTTGCGACTGGGTCTCTGTTGCCTTTGATCCGTGGTTCTGTGTGAGTTGTCTCCAGCGTATCTCTTTACATCGCTAGATCGTGGTTCTTCTCCTCTAATTCGAGAGTCTGCTTTGGTTCGCTGTCTGTCTCTGTCTCGCTGGTTCTCCTTAGGGCTTCGACATCATCATCGAGCTCTATGGTTATCTCTTTTTCTCTCGCTCTCTCTCTCTCTCTCTCTCTCGTATTGAGCTCTCTGGTTAACTCTCTCTCTCTCTCTCTCTCTCTCTCTAGTATTGTTATTGGTATCTAAGTATTTGACCCAGCTGTGCTAACTTTAGGATTATTACAATTTGACCCCTTTGATTAAATTTATTTTATACTTGGACACCATAAACCTTGCTTTATTATAATGTTGGATATTAAAATCCAAGCCATCAAATGCAAACTCACTAGTGACAATTATGCCTATTGGGCCAGTGTTATGAAGAATTTTGTTCTTGATCAGAAAAAATGAGGCTATGTTTCTGGTTCTGTTTCTCGTCCATTGGACCCGAAGGCGGAAGGGTATCTAACTTTTTGTGATACTTGGGATTGTGATAATGCCCAAGTTCTGACCTGGTTTCATAATTCTGTGGATGACTGTATTGGAATGATGTTTTCTAAGTACAGTACTGCCAAGGAGTTGTGGGATTATTTGCTAGGTGTTTATTAGCAGTCCAACTTTGCCAAGCGGTATGAGTTGGAAACAACTATTCAGAGTGCTCGTCAGCGAGATCAGACTATTCAGAACTTCTATATTGAGATGACAGGTCTCTGGGATCAATTGGTTCTTATGGAACCACCTAGTTTCAAGATACTGGACGCTTATCTTGAGTTTCGGGAGTAGGGTCGTTTAGTGCAGTTCTAAACGGCTTTCTCCCCTCAGTATGAGGTTATCTGAGGTGGCATCCTTCACTAATTTCCTCTTCCCTCTGTGGATGCTGTTGTTCGTGAGCTCCTCTTCGAGGAAACCCGTCTTAAGACGACCAGTCAAACTCTGCCTCTTTCTGTCTTCTTGGCTCCTGCCAAGCCTTCCTTGTTATCAACCCCACCTCCTCATCAGCTTCAAGCCACTGCAAAACCCAAGAAAGGACCATTAGGGCCGGATGAGTGTGATTTCTGCCATCAGAGGGGTCATTGGAAGAACAACTGTTCCAAGAAGGGAGGTTAGCCTGCTTCGTCTTCTCAGACATAGTTCCGCGGTCCTACCTCGAGTACTTTTCGACCTCCTGTCGCTTATACTACATCTACTTCGGCTCCCGATCCTGACTTGGCTTCCTTGAGTGCTCAGGTTGTACAATTTCAGCATATTCTATCCATCTCTCAGCCATCCCCATCTGCTTCCACTCTTACATCTCTTCATTCAGGTTTGCTTGGGTCCTTTTCAGGTATCTCTTATCTTGTCTGGCTTTTTGATTCTGGTGCTTCTCATCATATGACTCATCACATTTCCTTACTTAAAAACTGTATTCCCCTACCCGTTCCTATTACTATTAATACTGCTAATGGGTCTGGTATGTCGGTTTTATTTATTGGGTCTGTCTTACCCTCTACCATGTTTGTTGTTACTATTCTTTCTGTTTTTTATGTCCCTCAGTTATCTGTCAATTTATTGTCTATCAGTTAACTTGATGTGTCTGGTTTTGATGTTATCTTTTCCTCTTCCGTTTGTTGTGTGCAGGATCAGGTGTCCAAGAAGCAGATTGGGATCGACCATAGAGTTGGAGATTTCTATGTGGTTGAAAGCTTACATCTCCCCCTAACCACCTCTCCAACTGAACTTTTCCCGTTTCAGTTAGATTTTCAGTCAAGTCAGTTTTACTTATGGCATTCTTGCCTCGGTCATTTGTCTGTTGACTGTCTATGGTCTTTAGCTCAGTCAGGGTTGTTGGGTAAAGTTTCTCCTAGCCAAATTGATAAATGTCGGGGGTGTAAACTTGTCAAAATGTCAGCTTTACCATTTAATAAAAGTACATCTATTTCTGTTTCTCTTTTTTCTCATGTGCATACTGATGTTTGGGGACCCTTTCCTGTTCTTACTAAAAGGGTTTCAGTATACTATGTGTTTTTGTTGATGATTGCACCCATTGCACGTGGATTTATCTTATGACTCATAAGTCTGACTTCTACCAGATATACCGTACTTTCCAGTCTATGGTCTAATACTTATTTTTCTGCTTCTTATCGTACCTTTTTGTCTACTATTCACTATTTTTTTAGAACCTCAGTCTTACAAGGAGGCTTGCCAGGATCCTTATTGGGTTCAAGCTATGGAGGATGAGTTGTTTGCTCTACAGAAAACTAATACTTAGGAGTTGGTTCCTTTGCCTGCTGGAAAGAATCTGGTTGGTTACAAATGAGTTTACAAAGTCAAGACTTGTTCTGATGGTTCTCTTGAGCGCTACAAAGCTCGTTTGGTGGCCAAAGGTTTCTCCCAAGAGTATGGTATTGATTATGAGGAGACATTTGCTCCTGTTGCCAAGATGACTACTGTTCGTACTTTGATATTTGTCGCTGTTGTTCGTTCTTGGCCTCTTTATCAAATAGATGCTAAGGATGCTTTTCTTAATGGCCATCTCACTAAGGAGGTTTACATGTGTCCTCTCCCTAGGCTTCACCATTCCTCTGGCCAAGTTTGTTGTTTTTGGCATGCTTTGTATGATCTGAAACAGTTTCCTCGTGCTTGGTATGATCGCTTTCAGACTGCTGTTACCGAGCTTGGGTTTCATCCTTCTGCTTCTGACTCTGCTTTATTTCTAAGACCTACCTTGGCTAGTTTTGTTTCTCTCTTACTATATGTGGATGATATGATCATCACTGGCTTTGACTCTTCTGCTATCTCTGAGGTCAAACAATATCTCTTCCGCACCTTCGAAATGAAGGATCTGGGACCATTATGGTATTTTCTTGATATTGAGGTGGCTTCTTCTCCCAAGGGTTACTTTCTATCCCAGGCTAAGTACGCCAACGAGGTTATCCATCCTGCCGGACTTACTGACACAAAGCTTTCTGATACCCCCATTGAGCTTAATGTAAAGCTCAACACTACTGATGGTGTTCCTTTAGACGAGCCTACGTTATATCGGGAGCTTGTGGGTTGCTTAGTCTATCTGACAGTTACTCGCCCTGATCTTGCCTATGCTGTCCATGTGGTTAGTCAGTTTGTTTCTGTTCCTCACTCTACACATTGGGCTGCTTTGCTTCGGATTCTTCGATATCTTCGCAGTACTATCTTCCAGAGCTTACTATTCTCTTCTACTTCTTCCTCAGACTTGGTGGCTTATGCTAATGTTGATTGGGCTGGTGATGTTAATGATCGTAAATCTACTTCTGGTTTTTGTATGTTTCTTGGTGATTCCCTGATTTCTTAGAAAAGGAAGAAACAAACTGTTGTTTCCCGTTCTACTGCTGAAACTGAGTATCGTGCTATGGCTCATGCTACTGCTGAAATTGTCTTACTTTGTGGTCTCTTGTCTGACTTGGGTGTCCCTTAGTTTTTCCCAACCTCTCTCTATTGTGTCAACCGAAGTGCTATTCAAATTGCTTATAACACTGTCTTTCATGAATGGACAAAACATATAGAGATTGATTATCACTTCGTCCGTCAACATCTATAGTCTGGCTTTATCTCGCTTCTTTTTGTCTCTTCGACTCTGCAACTTGCTGACTTCTTTAACAAGACTCACACCACTGCTCGGTTTCGGTTTTTTCTTGACAAACTCTCAGTGTTTTCTGCTAAAACACCTTGAATTTGAACGGGGGTGTGAGAATGTATTCTCCTTTTTCCTTATAGGATTAGGAATTAGTGGTGCTCTATGTAAATAATGTATTCTTTGTTCAAACAATTCAATCTAATATACAGTTTCATTTAGAAAACTGACGTCATTTAGTGGTTTTTTTTTTTTCAAAATTTTTTTTTTTTTTTGTGACGGCATCATGATGTCATTTAATGGCGGTTTTCCAAAAAACACCATTTTTTTTTCCTCCTTGAAATATGAGAAGAATTACAATCAATATTTTGTCAAAAGCAGAGCATTTCAAAAGAAGATATGCACTGAAAGATTCAACACAGTTATGAGACCCCGTTTGCCAAGATTCTGAAATATAGCACAAGCCAAAGAATTCAACATAGTTTGATTACATAAGAGATTCCATCAACAAATAAATTCAGTCCAATGAACAAATCCTCCACTAGACAACATATCTTCCACAATGTCTATCATAAGACAATATTTCATAACCAAAATTAAGCATCTACCAAGTGCCAACCTAAGTAGCAGCATAGAAAAGCAAAATAACAGTCCACAGTACAGCATAATAACCATAATACTCTATCTCTGTACATGAGCTCGCTGCATGTCATAAGCAACTTAAGACCTTAAATATCTATCTCCTCATGAGCATAATTCAAATCACCAGTCAAAATGACAGGCTTGGACTTTTCTAACTTCTGCATCATGCATATAACAGGCATAAGAATACAAACCATGATCATAGAAAAATGTGCAGTAACTTTTGTTTTACATGTTGTAGCGAAGTTTGTGAATCATGATAAAGGAGAAACGGTCAAAGAAAATGCAACCATAACCGCTCACAAGAAAAAAAAAAAAAAACATTACATCAGGTGTGGTTGATAAATGTTAATTGGAGAAATCAATTTCTAGTATTTAAATTCCAGTTTTCATGCAAAATATGCCAACACTTTGTTCTAGTGTCAATTTCTAGTATTTAAATTCCAGTTTTCATGCAAAATATGCCAACACTTTGTTCTAGTGACGATTTCCTTGAAAAATATTGGGTAAACTATCCAATTGTTGGAATAATGAATAATTCTTGATAATATAGCACAAGAAGAAGTTAAACAAGAAAATTCTCTACTATGGGTTAAAAAATAACAACCCATGAAGAAAGAAATATAGTGCATGTAGTTGCTTTGCGTGTAACAATGTAGTTTAATAGAGAAACAACAAAGAAAATTAGGCTTACTTTCATGTAATTGCTGAAAGATGGATCCCATTGTGTAACCTTTTATGACTAGTATCAAAGGTAGAGAAACGTCAACAAGGTTTAATATTCATTTTTTGAAGCAAACATCCAAGATCATGGTGACCTACGGAATATAATGCAACTATACAAAAGATTATGGTACGAAGATGCAGTACATTGAAACGTGAAAGTGTGATTGATGATTTCCTAGAGTTCCAATAAGAATAATATGATGAAGATTAAACCAATCCAAACCAAGCCTTAAGTCCTATCAAATGCGGTCGGTTACATGAATCATTCTTCTCCACGCGGCCCTATCAAAGGCCATTTCGTTAGTCAAATTAAATAGATCCATATCTCTATTTACAATTGTAGACGCGCCCCGAGGGGCTTTATGCTGTGCTACAGTTCGGACTCAAATGTCACGGTTCTTAATCTGATCTCACAATGTGCAATGTGAGATTGATAAATCACCAAAGAGTCCAAATTTGGCAAATCGTTTTGAAAAATTAATTTTTGTAAAGAAGTGCCAAACATAGACTGCTTTGCTAGATACAGAGTCGCCACCTAAATATTTTTATTTTGGAGAAATTTAGGAAACCCTAACTCGTGCCTAAGGCCACGTGTCCGTCATCACCAAAGTTGCCTCAGCTCGGGAACTTAGGTACGATTGGGGAAGGTCATTTAATGAGCACCCCCACTCGCCCGATCAAAGATCGGCCTGTACTAAGCATGATACTTTGTTTTTGAAAAGACATGTGTTCTTATTCTGGTTATTAGCCTAGAATTACTATGTGATGCGCACAACACATAAGTATAGATAGATCGCCTAAGTTAGAACAAATCATCTCATGTTTGTTTATTTGAAAATGGTTTGAAGGTGCTACTCGCAAGTAGGCTAAGATGTGAATTTTGCCACCCTCGAGTGGGCTTAGAAAATATGATTTTGCCACAATCAAGTGGGCTTAAAACTCGCATTTCAATGAATTGTTCCAATTCAAGTAATCTAACCTTCACCCACAGGCATTCAGGCAGTTATATCATATAAGCAGTTAGCCTCATGGCAAGCATGCGGTCATGCTAACACTCACACTTATGCAAGATGCTAAAGCATAAAAGGTTACCTAGTACTCCGAGCCAAAACAATAGCTAGTTAGTAATCAATGCATGATCCTAGCTATGTTGAGATACCTAATGCAACACATACAAAATACAACTAGAATAGGCTCGGCTATCTAAGAATGGCATGTGAAATGCGATAACTCGATACACGTATTCAAGTTGGAATTGAAATACTATGCGGTTAGTATGATGCGCCGAGCCTGGTGCATGCAACACAGATGAATGATATAAACATGCGAGCATAAGGATGCTAATTGAAACATGACCTAAAACTAACCATTGAAAGCAGGTAAGTAAAAGGGAGAAAGACGTAGGGTTGGAAGACATTCACACACTCACGCACACTTATTACAAAATTTTCCCTCTCGACGGAGGGTCCGAATAAATAATACAAATCAACTAATTAATTAACTACCCTAGCTAATTAATTATTACATAACTCTTAATTAATTTAAACAAATTAACTAAGCTATGAAACTAAAGAGGCCGCCGTAGCTCCGCCTCAGAATGATTGAATGGTGAATACTCGATCGCCTCGCTCGGAAACCCGTTACCATGCCACATGTTGCCTCTGTTTGCATTGTTTTGCACCTCTGAAAACTGCACAAGTCCCAAGGATGCTTCCGAACCACTTCCTGAACACTGTGATATGTCACCGGCCAAGATATAGGAACATCGGCCATGTGGAATTGGTCATCGACCATTTGTGAGGATCTCGGCCAACAATGTTTAGTCGATCGGCACTGAAGATGGCCGGGCGGCTATATCTTCCTGCAGAATGCTGTTTTGCTGCAACAGAGGACAAACAGAGCATGACAATGCATTTTTAAGGCAATGTGTGCACAAACACCCTCCCTATCATGTCATTAACTCAAGGGAGTGTAGTGCTCAACCCTCGGGCCATCAATCACGCATGCCGATACATGATGGCCAAAGGAGCCGAGTGTGCGATTCAATATGGAATGAATGCACAAAAATGCATGAATGCCTAGAACTCTATCATGTTGGATCAAGAGCGTTGGCGATCGAGGATTGAGGCACGTTTCGTCACTTCAAGTACGAACGTCCCTCGGTCCTCGTGTTTGGTTCGACACCCCAAACCAAACATAATGCAATGCATGCAACAGTGGAAAAGCTATGTAATGCATTACAAGCATGCCAAATGCAATATGACTCAAACATGTACACAAGGCTAAGGTAACAAGCATGCCAAATGCAATGCAACCTAAACAAGCATGTGACAAAATGCAAGCTAGCAAGCATGCAAAATGCAACCATAATCCAACGAACATGCATGGCATGCAAAGATGGACAAACATACAAGCATGATGTAAAGTAGCAACTTTGAACAACATGGCAAATGGACTTAAACTAAAGACGGACAGACCTCAGCCATGCCCAAAATCAGTGGCCAAAATGCCAAGAAATGATGGAAATGAAACATGAGAAAAGCATGGCAAACATGCATGCCAATTGGCCCAAAGACTAAAGCACAAAGATGCAACTCTTAAGCATATCTAAAGAGTGAAAAGCAAGGATGTATGACAATACTACATGCTCTGAAATGATGTGAGGAGTGATACCAAATCAACCAATCAAAGCAAGTATGACATGTAAGAAAGCTCAAGGCTTCAGGCTAGCTAAGGAGCTTGTACTAAGGCCACATGAAATAAGCTCCAAAGAGCCAAGGACAACCAAAATAGTCCTAGATCATGCTAAAGGGAGTCTAAAACATGCAAGGGCCAAAGCTAAAACAAGCCAAAATGAAGGGCCGAAGGCAAGATGCAAGTAAGGCCAACAAAGGGGATTGCACTACACCCATTATAACCAAACATGGCATGACTTAACCAATGAAAAACAGAGATATGGCATGTCAAAATAGGCCCAAAAATCCATTTAGATGACATTCCGAAGACCTAATCATGGAGGCATGCACAATGACCCAACCTTAAGGCATAAGACACCAACTCTTCAAAGCTTTGAAAGGATGGCAAATGCAAGTATATGAACATGAAACATGGACTGAAATAACATATAAGATGATGCCAAATCATGGAAAAAGGTCCAAGTAGTGCATGCTAATGACTTGGACCCTCAAAGCTAACAAGCTAGAATGTATGGTAGTTATACAAAGTAATGCATGTATGATCAAAACAATATGAAACAGAGTTTTAACATGCTGAAATATGAACAAAAGCTCCTTTGGATCGATTCAAAATCATGCTAAAACCATAGCTTAAAGCACAAAGCATGTTAAGGCAAT